GCCTGCTTCTCCCTCTCCCACTCCCCCTGCTTGTGTTCCCTCTCTCGCTGTGTCTCTCTCTGTCAAATAAATAAATAAAATCTTAAAAAAAACAAGAAACATTCTGGGGCGCCTGGGTGGCTCAGTCGTTGAGCGTCTGCCTTCGGCTCAGGTCGTGGTCCGGGACCCTGGGATCGAGCCCCGCACTGGGCTCCCTGCTCTGCAGGGAGACCTGCTTCTCCCTCTCCCACTCCCCCTGCTTGTGTTCCTGCTCTCGCTGTCTCTCTCTCTGTCAAATAAATAAATAAAATCTTAAAAAAATAAAAAATAAATAAAAACTTCAATGTCTAAGGCTGGATTTAATTAGAAATTAGATTGATTTTCATATTTGTATTACGTTTATTCTTAGTTATTGCATAAAAAATGTCAAGTCACATTTTGGAAATGTAATTTTTTATATACTTAGAGTTATTAAAAAATGATATCTATTTTCTCTTTACATAATTTGTATATGGAAATATGGGATAGAATAACATGATTTTCATCACTATTAATTATACAAACTACCAGTAAAAAACTGGTAGAATTTTTTGCAATGTGAGAAAACACACTTTTTAAATAATGAAAAATCAATATTCAAATACAGAAATACAAATTTTAAAACACTGCTTGAATTAAAATAACATTTATGGTTTTTACTTTTAAATATTTATGGTTTTAAATACTTTAAATCTGTTAATTTTTTTACCAATGTGAAATATTAGAAGAGTAAAATTTAGTTAAATTGAGTATTTTAGTAATTTTCACTTTAATTTCTAAGTATTTATTAAATAATCAAATAAGTATATTTATTTGTATTAATGTATCAAATATGTAAAGAAATAAAATAATTAAACTATATTTAAACTGGCTCAATAATGAAAACATTATGCATCAATTTAATAATTTAATTTGACCATTATGTTACTGGAAAATTATAATTTTCCTTTATATTAATAATTTTAGAAGCAGTTACTATTCTCTCTGATGAAAATAAAGATAATTTAAAAATAACACCTGAAAAGTAGAATTTATGTATATATATATATACATACACACACACACACGTGTGTGTGTGGTAATAGTAATTGAAATGACCAATATTTTCCTTGGCAGAGACATTAAGACTGTGGGTCTGTAATCAGACTCTTGGGTTGAAGTCCCCATTCTGACTGTTTAACTAGTAGTTAATAAGTTCTATTAGCTAGTAGTTAATAGTAACTAGTAGGTAATAAGTTTGCAGCTGCAGGGAAGGTACTCGACTTCTATGTGGCTCGCCATCTTCATCAGTGAAGTTGGGATAATATCCTTATGGCAAAGTCAGAGACATTTTTTGGTTTTTCACTATTGTGTCTTAGTACCTAGAATAGTATCTGGCATACAACAAAAACTCAACAAATTTTTGCTGCATAAATGAAGTACATATTGTCCATATACCCCAACAGAAATTTGAATACTGAGGCACAGAAAGGTCAAATATTCTCCCTAATGTTAAGCAGCTTTCAGGTGACAATGCCCAGAGCTGGGTCTAGGCAGGATGGTTGTAGGGCCCGTGCTCTTGATATTTACTTCATATCTGAGTGGGGTGGGAATGTCTGCTTCCACTACTCTGTGCATACTGCAGTGGCTGATCAGAATAGCTATGGAACCATTTGATCCGAACATTCCTAGAGCCCAAGGACTTGGGTCAACTTTCTGTTATCAATCTTCCTTTTGGGGCAGAGACTAAGCTCAGACACGTCTTGTCATCACATAATCAAAGCAAAACTAAAATAAAAATTGGCTTTATAATAATTTTAGAATAAGAAACAAGCCCTATAATTAAGAAAAATGTAGAATAATTTTAGTTTCAGCAGTGATATAAGGTTTTACATTAAAAATACCAATTAGTTCTTGACATTCTAGTCAGTGTGAATTAAAAGATCAACTTAGATAAATGTACAGGCTTTACATTTTATAAATAGCCAACAGATAGAGTTCCTTTATTTACTAAGTGACTCACAGGCAAACAAATTATTAGAAATCGGCTAGGAGTAATAGTGATTAGCTAACTAGCATATCTAATTTATGGATCATACCTCATTTTCGAACAGCCAAGGCCGAAAGGGACAATATGGAATTGACAGCAATTACAGGCAGCAGTTTATACTGAAGAAAATACAGCAAATGGCTAAAGGCATCAAGATATATTTAACTCTCCTATGAAGGACTTACATGGTTTGTGTTATTTATCGTAAAAAATGTAATTTAGAATCTAGAATATATCAAATTCTACTTCTGCCATGTCACCTTTTATTAATATTTGTAAGAAAGAGGGGGATGGAGGAAGAGTCTCATGGAGAGAAGTACATGCATGAAAAATAAAAGTGTTCTTAATACCTCTACCATGTTCTCTTTTTAAAAATATCTCCACTCGATCTTAATCTTTCAAGCAATGCACATACGTAGTGCTGAAAAGCCATGTTGATTCTTAGAAGAAAAATGTTGCTGTCAAATGGCAGGCAAGATTAAATGCACCTTTGCCATAGCACATTAAATGTGTAATTATTTTTCATATCAACAAAGATTAATTAAATTTCATGATAAAGATTGATTATTGAATTTTGGAGCTGTCCATCCTTGTTAGAAAAAATCATGTTTTAGGCCAACTTGACTTAGGACAGTGATATTTTCTTCATGCTCTCATCATTATTATTATCATCTTGATTCTCATTTAATTCTCTTTTAATATTTACTGGAGAGTCTATGAAATGTTTCTTTGGTATTCATGTGGGTCTACTGAGTGAGAAAGTTGAGCTTCGCCTTTCATTTACCTTTATAGGGAAAATACTCAACACATTTGATGTGTTCTTAAAATTTTATAATGTAAATAATTGTAATTCATAATTTGTTAACTATTATCTCTGTTACATGCTACTCTATTTTCTATGAAAATAAAAGTTCTCATTTACTTACAAACACCTAAATGTGGCGACTGCTGTCGGCAACATTTTTAAGAATATAAAATCTATGATCAGTGCCCCTGTCTTTTTGCATTGGTGCCAGTGCAAACCTCAGAGCCCAAAGCCCTCACTTGCTTTCATATTTCCCCATGATCAAAATGTACTTCCAAAAAGGCACATGGTGGTAGTTCTTTACTAACTGTGAATGTAGCCACAATGTCACCTCTTCTAAAGGTATTTTAATTTTCTCATTCTCCTCTTCTGCAACTTTTAAAAGACTTTCAGTGAGCAGGTCAATAGTGTTCCAGAAGAGGCGAGGGCCCTCTGGACATCTCTGAAATTGTACCACAATGGTGATTACTACTCTGATGACATCACAGGATGGCTCTGCTTGAAGCCAAACTTAAATCTCACAATCGCAACTATAGGTTATGAAATGGATAAGCTAAAGAAAAGCAGAAGAGGCCTGAAGAAAGACTTTAAGTAAATCCTCACACTCCATTTTTGCCAGGGACTCTATACCTGCTAGAAAAACTTACCTATACTCCTTACTTAATCATATTACATGCAAATTTTAAATACATACTGGTTATCAGATTTTATGAATTATTGTCCCATGTAATTTATTATAACATATTATAATATATTGATAACAATTACTTGTTAACAGCATTTATAATTTAGTACCATATCAAAATCATATACAATAGGCTGCAGTAGAGTTGAATAAGGATAACAGTGTTAACTATTTTTTTCTTTCCTGGGCATCAAAATATTTCCCTTAGATATACATTTCAAAATATGAGAATAAATTTCCTCAAATTATCAGAAATCAGTAGGACTAATGAAATAGAAGAATGTGACTTGCTAGTTTTTTATTGCAAGACACATCAATCTTTGTCCTCATCATCTCTCAGTGGAAAAACATCTTGAATCTTATACCAGTTGAATGATGATTTCCCCAGGAAGGAGATATCACTCTAACCATTTTTCCAAATGCTTTCCAACGTACCTGGGCTCATGATAGTTGAGATATGAATAGTGCTCCAAGAGTTTCCAAGTTATCCCATTATCATACGAATAATGCAACAAAACTCCTTCACCAGGCTGGTCGGGGGCTCTGCATGTGCTCAGAACAGACTTGCTCCCCAGCCTCAATGTGAACTGGAGAAACCTAGACATGAATTGTCTGTAATTAGTGTGTGCATAAACATTTTTAATCATAATGCTCATTTTGGCTTTTAAAGAATTCCAAGCAAATTTAAATGAACTACTCAAAAGCTGCATGTTTCCACTCATCTCCCTTTTATAAAATGTAAGTAATTTCACTGTGAGATGTATGAATATGTGTAGAAGATGAGGTCAATGCATGTTTATATGCAGATATATCCATACAAATATAAGTGTATGTTTATACATACTTGTATACTATGTACTTGTGTACATACACTTAAAGTGCCAATCATTCCTTTACTGCATTATTTATTAGGCACTGGGGGAAGAGAAGATGTAGAGTAAATCTAATCAGCCTCTGCAAGCTGTCAAATAAAACTACATAAATAATTAACTAGCCCTTGGCTTAAGAACACAGTTTTGATGCTAACATTTCATATGTTTAAAAACCTAGTCAGTCATTAAGTATCTTAAAGTCATCAGTAGGCCTTTTAATTTATTAAAAACTAGGGCAAATTAACCCTGTATAAACTAACTGTAAGCTCCCTCTCGGTTAAAGATTGAAAGATGTACATATCAGCAAAAAAGGGAGAAAACTGGAGAATAAAGGGATCTAAATTCAATCATTAGCATCTGGTTTCGGTATGTATTCCACCCTGCCTTAACTCACCTGGATTGTGAGCTGTCAAGGAAAGAGGTAATTAGCTGACGCCTCCCATCTTTGTTGAAAACCAGGGCCTTACCACTGGCCAAGACACCACAACCAAAGCTGACTTCAGCACCACGGATAGAGTAAAAGTTATGGTAAGAGGAGAGCCTGGAACTGCCAAAGCTTTCAGAAATAAACATTGGGAATGTCTGGGATGCCATCTCACAAGCTGGGCCAGAAAATCCAGGGTCACACCTGAAAGAGATACCATAAAATAAAACTTTAAGCTGTTGGTCCTTTCAGAGACCCCTGAATCTAATTCAGGGAGGAGGAAGTCCAGGGGCCAGGATTTGATTGAATGGTAAGCGAGGCTCATTAGTCTTTGGAAAACAATGAATCTGAAGACTTGATAAGGGTGATTGACTACAAATATTCCAGAAAAATATAGTCTTTGCACAGCCTTGCTATAAAAAGCTTGTGATTAAAACAATAATTCAGCACTCATCTTTAACCAATGTCAGCGATTTGTCTGCATCTAACATTGTGCACATTTCCAATTTAAAATCTTTGTAAAAGGTGTATTATCATGTATATACTTTTATTCTCAATTATGTTCATTAAATTGGTAAAAGAAAGATCAATAAAATACTTCCAGAGACATCTGGAATAAATTTCCTCTAAGAACAAATGTAAAAATACACATTATGTTTGTGATAGAAATTATTTGAAATATTTGGAAAAGACTGGAAAATAAATCTATCTTTATTTCAAACTTAGATTGACACTATAAAGGGAATGTGAACACCTTGTCCTTAGCCGAACTGTGCTGCTCACAGTGGAATCCCAAATTAGTAGTGCTTCACGAAAAAGAAAAACAAAACAGAACAAACCCCACACAACAACTTGCCTCCTGCTGTATTTATATTAGAAAACTCACTGAAGGTAACTCCATAGGTGAACATCAGAAACTTCTTATATTTTAAGGCATTTACTCATCAGGAATTAGTTTTAAATTCTTTTTTTCTTTTCTTTTTTTTTTACTGCACTATTTCTTTTTCACTATCTATACAATGTCACCCTTTATAAAATTAAATTGTGCCGTTTTGGGGTGGGGTGCGGGGGTTCTCATCTAAGCATTCAAAACCTCCTAAAATCTGAAACCAGCATTTTAGAAAGCCATGAAGTACCAATGAAGCGATATTATGACATAATTCTGAAAAATACTTCTTTAGCACTAGTGCTGAAACTGGGACCTATGCTGGCCTAACAGAGAGGGTCCACGGAGTGGATGAACAAATGTCAAATTGTATGTGTATTGGATATTATGGGGGAGAAGAGTTATAGTCATTATCATATTATCAAGGAAGTTAGACCCTAAAATGCCGAGAACTGCTGCAGCGTGAAGTCTGAAGGTTGTTCAGCATTAGGGATGGGAGTGGGAAAGAAAACCAGTATTTATGGAGCATGTGAATAAGCCTCAAACAGTATACTTCTTTCACATGTTATCTCACCGACTTAGTGAATAGCCAAGTAGTTTCCAAAAAGGATAAAAACTTAGCTAAGGAGGACACATTTTGACACTAGAAAACTGAATGCGGTTTTCCATGGCCACAAATTGGAATCAGTGTTCCCCAACAAGGCATGCATTTCAGGGCAAATGCATTTCTGTGTCTTTTAAATGTATCTTCTTAGGACCAGTGATTGGGAGACATTAGTGATCATTTAGAGATGACTCACATTGGAGTCAGTTCCCATTTAATGGTTTTCAAAGTATACTTTTAATGAAAAGTTATATAATTGGGAAAAAATGCTGATCAAGATTCCATTCATATACTTAAAAATACATTTGCAGCCTTTGTTTTGCAGTGGAACAGTAGGGTAACCCAGTTGGGAGATTCCAGGAATGGCATGAGGCTCTCCTGACTCCAAAAATATCCCCTATTGGTTCATCTCCCCAACCTTAAATGTGGCATTATGGTCACCTTGTATGTCAGGATAAAAGGCCCCAGTGTTAAGCTATGTGGATGACACCCATGTAGGAAGGTTTCTAACGCTTTCTGTCCTTCTCACTAGTACCTCTAACAGGGATGGGCTTATTAGGATAAAGAGTTGTCCGTTTAGAAACCCAGGCCTGGGGATTATACACAGGCAAGAAAGTGTTAGGCAGCAGGAGAAGCAGAATCCTGGTAGCAAGGAACAGTAGTGATGAGGGGAGCAAAGTGGGAAGAGAAACAAAGCTGCAAGGCCCCTAAATTGGAGGATCCATTTAAAAGAAATAAATAGCACTGAATATAAATTTCTTTTCTATGCCACTTTGCTCATACTTGACAAGTCACACATTGCTGGAAAAGGATGTAGTAGCCAAACATTTAGCGCAGCCACAAATGAACAAAACCGATGAATATTACAAAAACATTGTCAGAAATCGGGGAAAAAACCTCAAGTTCCAACTGGTGAAAATATTCTGAAAAACCTGAGAAGGAGGAAAAGGCTATGATTATTCAAGATAATGTACAGTGTCAAAAAAGAACAATGCCCAAAGGCATAAAACTGCCATTCAGATTTCTGTTTGCATCTATCATGAGTGACACAGATGGCTGTCTTAATAAACGCACTGAATGCTAACAGGGAGACTGTACACAAAAAACGAGGTATGAAGTATAACTATTCTAATTATAGAGGGGTCTTTTTAGAAATAGCACTTTCTATTTTCATTAATAAAAGCAGCTGTCCTTTTAGATAATTTGTTTTCAAAACTTTTCAGGACAACTTCAGGAATTACACAGATGTCTGGCGTTCTCGTGTTGATTTTATTTGAAATGCACTAAATGAGAGGATAGCCTGGTTAGGGATGACAGATGAAGAGAACAACTTGAGGAAAACACCAGATAATGCTTCACAGATCTAATGAGTCAGTGTTTTGGGGTGGGAGCTGGTAGTCTTATTGAAAAGAGAACTTTTGAATTCTTTCATACTTTCTAAAACATTTCTATTGTGCAGAGAGATTTCTTTGCTAATTAAATTCATTGCAATATAGTTAAAAAGTTAACATGACACTCTAATGTCAGTGCTGACAAGTGTCTTGCCTCATACATATAATTTCCAAATGATCAGGTAGAAATCTCTTCTATGAGTTCTCCATTAATTAATTATTACTCTTTTTGTTTGGAGGACAAGAAGAGACAGACTAGATGATCAGTTGTTGAAAACTTATCTATATAACAAAGATTGTGGTTTCAGGAATTTCCAGGATACTTTATAATTAAATATTAAATATTAATGTGGGAATGACATAGTATATATGAATATCCATTCTTGTTATAAACATAACACAGTGCTTCAGTGGTGACTAGATATTAACTATTTATATAGAATTTCAAACCTCATATTTAACATCATTATTATATACCTATAATATACATGTATATTATATACATTTATATATCATTTTGAAGACCCAAATGATTTTTGAAAGTAAGCAAGACTATCAAAAACTAATGATGTAATGTATGGTGATTAACATAATTAAAAAAAGAAAAAAAAAGAAAGTAAGCAAGACTGCAAAATTATATTTAAAGATGAATTTTCTTATCAAATCTGCTAAATTTGGCTCATTCTAGTTCCCTTTAGTCTTGGGTCAGTATTGATTTGCATAATTCATTTACAAAGCATGCTAGGAATTAAAATATGGCTCAACAACACTAAAACAAGTTAATGGAAAAATAGCATATTAAAGAATGTAACCAAAGAAAAGGCAGTCATCAAGCTATGAAGAATTCAAATTTGTTCATAAATTTACACGAAGTATGCTAAATTTGTTCACAATTTAGCTTCACAGAAAAGTTATTTATTCATCAACTTCCACCTACAAAAGACACTTAATAGTCTATTATGTTTAAATTCCCTTTGGAGAATCCTACTTTGATCTTGGAAAGACCTCAAAAAGCCTAAAAAGGAAACAAGTTAAAATGACTTGTGGCCTCAATATATAAAATACATATAAAAAAAAGAAGTATAATTATTATTTAAAAAAATGCTTACTTGCAACCATGTCGAGTACACTGTCCTCGGCCAGAACAGAACTTGAGACATGATGGACCAATATAAACTGCAGGCAGGGCAAAAGACAGCATGTAAAAAAAATGGCAAAACCAACTGGAAAAACCAAGAACAACATCAGCATGTGAATCAATTTTGTGAAGCAATACTCATAAAATCTAGCCCATTCTGTGCATGTTGTGCGGAGAAAGCCAGGGTAATACAGAGTGCTGTGTGACAAGGTAAGTGCTTAGCTACAAATCTGATGGAAATATTTTAACTTAATTCTTTCAAGATTTTAATGTTCCATAGCAAAAATAGGTAGGAACATACGATTTGGGTTCCTTAATGGGAGTCTCTTCAGCTAAAATGATTTCAGGCAGAATATTGTGCTTCTGACTTGAACTTTCTATAAAGTTTAATTTTTTTTTAGGTAGAAATAAAGAATTTGCAAAGGATCAATTTGATATATCAAGAAATGGACACTTAACTTAAAAACTGTAACTTCCATTCTTATCTGGTTAAAATCTATAACACATTACAGATGATTGTTACATATCTTTCTAAATATTAACCCATCCTTCCTAAAATGGGGAGTTAAAAATCTGTTGTTGTGCATCAAGTCTTCTCTGAAATGCAGATCTTTTCCTAAATGGTGGGCTTGACTGATAATGATATTACAAACCTCAATTCTAATCTTTGGAATGCCAAGAAAAGGGTTCCTGGTGGTTGAATGGTAGGTTCTCAGATCATCAGACTCAAATACATTTAAAGATATTAAGCCTCTTGATAACCGACCAGTACAATGAATAACACACCGAAAAGTGTGAAAAATGGAACAAAACCAATGAGGAATTAGAGATGCAATGGTGGCTAAGACCTCACATATTCAATTTTAGGCACAAACAAATTTGCATTCCATTATCATTTTTTTCCTGTCTCACAATCATGTCAAATGATTTCATTTTAAAATAAATTTCCCTGTGGATAATGCTCCTACAAACACTTGTTCTCTGGAGCCAATTAATTCAAGTGTGATGCAAAGCAGCCAGGAACAACAGCAAGGAGGAACAGCTTCCTTCCTTGCTGAAGGAAGCTGATGGTTAAGGAAGAGATCAGATAGCAGGCTGAGTGGTTAAAGTTACGGTTCTGGGTGTCAAATTACCCTGGATTCAAATTCCCACTTCACCTGGAAAACTCTGGATAAGTGATTTATCCAGTGCTCCTATTCTTTAAAGTGGGATAATAATCCTTGGAGGAAAGAGTAAATGAAATGTTCATGCTTAGCAGGCTGCCTGGCACCATATGGTTATGATCACCATGATACTGGCGTCAAGAATCCTTCTTGCTCCATCTGCCTTATTGGCCTCTACTGGACAGCACCAGTGCTGAGAAATAGGGAAAGGCTTCATTCAGTCTTCTTTAGCCTGGTAAAGTTTATGGATTGTTTTCCCAACACACTTGATTTTATGGCTGCAGTAGGATTTATTCTAAGTTCTGTAAATGGTTCATTGCATTTTGCGGGATCACTCTGGAGGGCTTCCCTAGAAGGTACCTATGTCAGAGTTCAAAAAGCTTCCATTGTAAAAAAAAAATTTCAACAATAAAACAAGATTTTCCAAGTCAATGAAAATATTGCAATTAAGCATCTTGTCATCCCTCCCCACTAATGATGGGGTCACTGGGATTCACAGCATGAGTAAGTTTATAGGCTGTTTTTCCTAAGAGTGTGGAAAGGATAGATTCGTTTTTATCACTATTATTAATTTAATCAAGTCAAAAAAACTAAAAAGTGATAACAAACATACTTTGCTCTAGGATTTTCCATTTTGCTAAGAACTTCAGGATAATTCCAAAAATACTTCCTGTACACACTAGCAGGAAAAACATACCTAACAGAAGTAGGATATTGACCTGTTTTTTTCTCTCTGTTTTCCTTGACATGGTTTGGAATTCCATAGAGAAGTGGGAGAGATTTCAGAAGTGTTCTTTGGCAAGTTGGCACACATTTCTCTTGGGAAGGACTAAATGTGTGTCCTTTTTTTGCCTTATGAAGAAGCCAGAGAGCAGGTCTTGTTCTTGTGAAAACCTCACATGTAGGATGACAACAGAATTGAGAAAATTCTGCCCTAAGTTTTGCATTTGACCTGCACTGCTCATTCCATATATTCTTACCTTTTCTCATTTTACTCAAAACACGATGGTGGGACACTTTCTGACTTGGGATCACGTAGTAGCCTTCTTTAGGAAATTTAGATATTCTTTTCATAGGCTTACATGTGCTTCATAGCACTCTTAATTTCCTCATTTGCTTTATTATTGGTTTTTTGAGTTCTTTTATTATTATCAAAGTAATATAAGTTCATTATAGGACCCCTAAAAAGTATGACAGCAGGGGAAAAGTCACTCATATCCTACTATCCAGAGGCACATACTTATTCCCTAGAGCTAATTAACAGGTGTTGTAACTCAAATGCTATGCAAAATGTTCTACCAATGGAGGAAGTCCATTTTACCAAATTAATCTTTAGATGGTTTTGCAAATGTACTATGTTTATGTACTATGTACTATGTTAAATATACTATGTTGACGTATGTGGTCTTTGAAGTCTGGGCCTCTTACTGGTCTTCTCTGAACACAGACTGCTTAAAGAATTTACATTGGCTTATCAGTAAATTATCTTGCCTGAGGTTATTCCTGAGTTTCAAGAATGTATTCCATTAAATGTGTAGCAATTTTTTGATTATTAAAAAATAGCAAAAAGATTGGGGTGCCTGGGTGGCTGGCTCAGTTGGTTGGGTGTCTGACTCTTGATTTCGGCTGGTGTCATGATCTTGGGGTTGTGGGATTGAGCTCCCCGTCAGGCTCCACACTCAGCTCGGAGTCTGCTTGTCCCTCTCTCTCCTGCTCTGCTCCTCCCCCTACTCCTCGCTCATGCTCTCTCTCTCTCTCTCAATAAATAAATAAAATCTTTTTTAAAAATAGCAAAAACATTATTAAAACATGGGAGGTCAGCATGAAACAATGATGTAGGCTTTTCCTACATCATAAAATTGACCAAAGTTGGTGGCTATGCTAAATTTGCTTAAGTATTGACATTTGTCCCCCCTCCCCTCCCTTTCTAATTCCTCGTAGTGTAACTCTTCAGTCAAATTGATATACTCTGAAAATAGGAAATCTATGAATCTGCCTGTAATGAGAATTATTAAAAAACTAGAGTGGGCTACTAATAACAAATATAAGAAATTTACAGTCACGTACCCCAATAACTTAAAATATCTTCTCTCCTGTATATTTGTTACAAGTGATACTGGCTTTAAAGTCATGCAAAAACGATCAACAATTCACTTAAAAATTAAAGATAACATAGGATATTTTATGTATATCTAAATTTTCCTCTTATACTGTTTTCTGAGAAGGAAGTAGAAGTTTTGCTTCAGAAGTTTCATTCTAGAGATGATGTTCCCTTATGTGTGGTGTCTGCATCTAAAAGATAAGCGTTCCAGATGTTGCAGTAGTTACTAAGAGAAGAATGGGTCTTATTTTAATACATGCAGTATGGTAAGTATTTATGTTAATTTTGTATAAAACATTCAAAGAAAATGTTAGGATATCCCCTGTCATCAGCTGTGAATTTGAGTTTCAGGGCTTTACGCATTTTTACATTATGTATGTTGAAACATTCTGGCATCTAATATTGCTGACACTGCTGCCTTTTTTTTTCTGATTGTGCATCCCTGGGTTTCTAACGGAATGCAAAGGAGAAAGGGAAGAAAGGGCGTTTAATGAATCGCAAGACCATGACTTAGAAATGTGATTAAGTCTGTACCAACGAACAAAAGCACAGGAAGACTCTGCATCAATGGCATGTGATTATGACAGGCATAAACTAACCATTATCAATTGCCCACATGTTTCCAAGGATTGGTCCCGTTTGTCTCCAGCGAATTCTGGTGTCCCTGGTTAGTGCTGCGTTAGGAAGGGGAATCGTTATTCGGTTCCACCTGCAAGAAATTTAGCACAAAACAGCTTCACCACATTCTCATCTTTTGAACCTCTTTTACTTGCCTTTGACGTTCTAGTTTCTAAATGCTCGGGAGAGCACTAAAGTTTGGCAATAAACTCTTTAAATTCACCTGTGGAGTTTGTTTATAGTTTTCCGACAAAGAACTTCTAAAAACAGCCATATCACACTAGAGTACTGTGTTTGTTCTTAATAGCAAGTGATATTTACTTTGTTTTTAGACATTCTTTTTAGGAATTTTTACATCAATACTCAGACCTATGATATTATTCTATGATATGCATCTGTGCCGACATGGGGGTTGATTGGCATTGATTACTTTCTATTTTTTGCTCTCCCCTAGTCCTATGCACATTTCAAGAGAGGCTAAGAAAGAAAATAATTCTTAATTTTGCCATGCTTGGAGATATTTTTACCAGTTTATCCAGTGCTTATTCTGTAAGGTGGAAGGTATTTGGCACAGTCATCTTTAATTCTCTAAACAGCCCTCAAAGGGGTATACCATTGTCCTTAATTTACGTGGAAAGAAGGGGAAAGTTAGAGAGTAAATATCATTACTCAAGTAGATGGCAGAACTAGGATTTGAACCCACAGCTTCACTTTCTTCCACCTCTCTATGCTGTATCGTTCCCTAAGTAAGTATTTTGGCAAGAAGCCTTTTGGCAATAACCATGCAATCAACTATACAAAATTTAAATTTATGTATCTAAAATATAAAAGCCAAGTACATAGAGAATGAGTGACCCTACAAATCCTGATCTTGTATCAGATTTACTGAAGTTATTGTCTTTTTGTCTTTTTTTAAAAAAATGGGATCCTTCCTACATCTCCTGAAAGCTTCCTTACCTATTATGAAAAAGTAGAGTCTCAGGCTTACTCCTGGATTTTGAGTCACAACATGGATTCAAATCTCCCGATCTCTCAGAGAGAATGTACTTACCCACTGTAGTTTTCGGAGGAGTAGATTGTGCTGTGGGGAAGGTGGGGTCCAGCACAGATCTCAGGCAAACACTCAGTGTGGAGGAGGGACCAGGAGCGCCCATGGTTGGTGGAAAACTCCAAGGTGACACTGGTAACACCAGGACAAGCACAACAAAAAAGTGCAAAGATTAGAAAATGAAGAGACTCAGCCCTCGCTAAGTATCTTAAACATTTGCAGAACTAGGGTAACAAATTTTAAGATGCTGTTTCCAAAATGATCGTTTCCCCCTTCACTGCAGTCTGACCAGCCTTCAAAGGGCAAACGGTTAAATTACCACGAGAGTAACAGACTATCTTTTAAAGCCAACAAATGGGAACGGGCATTGGCGTGCTTCAATCTGATAGATGGCAAGGCAATTACCATGTTTCACACTGCCACCTCATCCTGTGAATGTGAGACTCACAAAATTCTTAGAAAGGACCAGCAACACTTGTGCGAAGTGAAACCGAGAAGTCATAGCTCTTGAAGTGCTAATTGATTTCCGTGCCTATTATTAGGGGGTCACTAACCAACATGAGGTCAAGCTTTTTTTCTCAGTTATTTGTTTTTCTTCTCTCTCGGCAATCTGTCTGCATGGATGGCTGCCACAGCATGTGCAAACACTTCTGATACCTAAAACCAAGCTCATAGAATGAACTCATTTCTACTTAAAATTATCCAATCATAATCTGCATATTAATTGAAGAGCTCCTCTTTGGGGGGAAAGTGTGTATTTTTTTAAAGGATGTTTCATTAGAAATTCAGCAGGAAACCCACTGAGAAGTTGCTCTGATTTAATAGCCAAGTCCACGTGTTCATTTTTTTTTTTAATATGTTATTTTTTAAGTAATCTCTACGCTCAACATGGGGCTTGAACTCATAAGAGTCGCGTGCTCCACGAACTGAGCCAGCCAGGTGCCCCACGTTTTCATTTCTAATTAGTGTGTGAGTTCACACACTCACAAAATAGGACTTCCTACCTGTTACCAGGTTGATGTGTTCCACAGCCCAGATTAATGGAAAACTGTATCATGTGAGACATCGTAGAAGGGAGAACAGGTAAGACGTGGAAAAAATCGACAGCCCAGACGTTCCTGTTTTGACCTTGATGGTTCTTTTGCCTGAGACAAAATCTGGTAGCAGGCGTCTGAAGCTCAGGATTGATGACAACAGAAACTAAAGATGGAACCTTCAAAACAAAGGAAACCAAAATCACTCATCATCCCTCTATGTGAGACTGTGTGAATTCTCCTAGATTCAATCTTGCAGTTACTATGTGTATAATTGCCATTTATGAGCACGGGGCGAAGTCCTGTGTGTTCCACTGTTATTTCATGTAGTTGATGCGGTCTTCATGGGTATTTGTTTGAGTCACTCAGGATTCCTCCTTTGCAGGCACCTGGAACTCTCTGTGTGTGACTGATCAGGCCCTCTCTACCTGAAGATTAATTAGTGTAAGTTCTTTAAAAGTTATCAGAGCATATGTATCCATTTTATATACCTTGGAACAAGACAAAGGCAACTTCACAGTTAAAATTTATCATCGGTCCTCTTTTAAAAAAGTGAATTTGTATGGTAATAATGGTTGCCAAACTAGTATTCTGAAAATAGGATGCTAAGCGGTAACAGCCAGCATCAATGAGTTACATAATTGACTTTGTCTGAGGCACGCAGCTGACCAGAGCAGATGTAACCCTAGCTAGTCACAGGTGGAAAACTAGTCCATCATGAAATCCCAAATGGTCTAACTCGAATGACCCTAGCAGATGGGTGTGCTGGATACTTTCTCTGGCCATCCCCTATTCTAGCCTCAATGTTTATCTCCTGTCTTCCGAAATGCTAGGTGCTGGCTGTGTTCAAGCTCTTTACAGTTCCGAGGGTGCTATCAATGTGGAGAACAGCATAACTAATAATGATTGTGTGAGTGTAGTCTCAGCACAAAGAAATCTACTACTAGAAAAAAATAATTCTACACCTAATGACAAGCATCACACATAATTCTGAAGATGTTTGCAAATAACCAGAGCCAGTACATGTACTAAATCCAAAGGGCAAAGGGAAAAGGTCAATTTCAGTGGCTATAATTAGCAAAAAAAAAAAAAAAAGTAGCAATAATCTATACTTCTACAATGTCTTCTACCTAGGAAATCCTAAAATGCTTGATAAATAGTCATTATGCCTGATAACAAGTCTGTGAGGTTCCATAATTAGAGCCACTTTTGGGGTTTTATAGGGAACAAGAATAACTATCAGAGTACTGGGCTCCATCTTACTGTCTCTAATGGGCTGTAGTTCATTTTTCCTGATAAAAACCGCCTTTTTCATTTGTATCAGGAAAAAAAAAGAGAATATTAAAATGTCCATGTCACTTTTAAAGAAATCTGGCAACTTCCTGGGCTTCTAAAAGAGAGTGTTCTCTGCATCTAGCAGGGTCTTCATGGTTTTGACCTTGGCCTGTCTACAGAGATCTGGGATGGGGCCATTTGGCACATGGACTGGCATCAATACCTTATAGGAGGAATAGGAAAGAGTATCCAGTGTAATGTGCTCTTTTCTTCCTTCAATCTTTGCATACAGGGTGATATCATTTTCATGAGAATCTCCAGGGTCACAAACCCCTCCTGTATAAAACAAAAATTTTAAGTTCTTGGTACCAAATTGCATCCATAAACATGTGTAGTGTTAACTTTCAGAATTAAAAGAATATAAGAATAACTTTAAGAATAATTATAATAATATTATATTAAGAATGACCCTAAACAAAAATAACCAGACCCAAGGAAATAATTTATAAAGATAGTTCAGATAGAACTATCTCATGCTAAAGATCAATAACCTGATATTTGGGAAGGCCAAAGTAACTATGTGCTTCATGAGATTGCTCAAATGATAGTCTGCAACGAGCCATGGCTGCATGTCCAAATTTTAACCCACATTAAAAAAGATGTGCTCTGCTTTTTAAGAAACTGTCACTTCCTTATATTTGAGGTCTTAATGGCCAAAATTCAGAACTGATTGATGCTGGTTTTTAAAAAATGTGGTGACTCACTCCATTAGCTATTTCTGAAGTGATATTACTTAAACAGTTGCACATAGTATCCTTAATATTTTAGCACATACTAGGTATTTGCATCTTAATTGCAGTTCGTTTTACATTTTTCATTTTTATTTTTGGTACCTCATTTGGTTGTTGGAAAGTACACAGAGTAGTTCATTCCCTATCTCTCTACTTTACAGTCAAATGAAACAATGGAACATTAGAACCAAGAGGTAATTAAGATCATCCTGATGACGAAACTGAATAACAGAGCAGGGACCTGAAACTGAAGACCATTCAACTAACCGGTGGAAAAGCCGTGAGTCAATGGTATGTCTTTTAGCCCTTGACCCTCTATTCTTTTCACTACTGCATTCAGCCAATAATTCTTACTATTGCTGGCTTCTATGAACTGTCTGCAGAACCTGGATTTTAAAGGATTGCATGTCTACCCAGAAGCCTCTCCCTACCCACTACTATCATTCACAACAGCCCCAGTCATCATAGCAGGAATGTAGGAATGTACATGGATTTCCTGGCAAATATTCTATCCTTATGGTCCCAAATTTATAACATTAACTCTTAATTTTATTACTATCTTTCAAAAGATCCCCTCCAGTTCTTAAATTAACTACCATTAATGTTAATTTTTCTCTACAGGCAATTTGTTGCTAATACTCTATGGTGACAGTAGGTTAACCTCAAAACTCTAGAACAAGGTTACCCTCTGAGAATTAATCTAGTAAAATCAACAAATAATGGTTGAGATTCACCATCGGAAGGAAAGAAGGAAGGAGGAAAGGAAGGAAGGGAGGGAGGGAGGAAGGAAGGAAAGAGGGGGGAGGAATGTTTGATACAATCTCAGCCTGGGTAACTGGGGTCTGATCTTGGGAAAAAATTACTGATATGTGCTGTTTTCAGTAAGAAAGCTAGAACTTAATCAACATAAGAAAGATCATAATAATAGAAGTAACTTGGATGCTGGTATCCATGAAGCATAGAACTATAGCATGTTACATCTGTTAGACATACATAACTTGGCATATTATAAATATTTATTTAGTTAACTAATCTGAACTGAGAAGAGAGAGGCCAGATGTGGTGATAATGTCACCCTCGTCCTAACAGATGTTTATTGTTTAAGGGCAACAGCCGGTAGAGAGAACCTTATGATTTTGATATCTGATATCAGAATTTTTTTAGCATTTTGTTACACACTGCTACATTATGGTAAACATAGCTAGTAAAGTCATTCTAAACGACTGTCTTTGGGGGAAAAAGATCTGCATGAAAACTAAACCCCTATCTAAAAACTGTAACTTCTTTGTTGAGGACATATTAAAGACTTACCCAAAAGAACACAGGAAAGGTGAAAGGTCACGGGCAGTATGGATTTAAAGCAACATATCCAGAGACATAGGAACTGAACCTCAGTCCTCTCTAATTTCATTGATTTGTTCCCTGTAAATCTCTGCTCTCTTAAGAACAGTTCGTGAACTGCACCTGCCTTTCAGAGGGAACGGAGACACACGTGAGCGCTCCTCCCGCCCAGAATGACAAAAGAGGAAAGTCCAAAAGGAGCCACAACTTTAAAATGATGACAGACTTTATCTAAAAGATCCCTCTGGGGGCAATTTATCAGCTCTGTGAAGTTTCAGTGACAGCAGCTGGTACAGAAAGATATGGATTCTTCTTCTGTTTCATTCGCTTTGATGTATTGTGGGAAGGTATGACTCAAGGGGCATTTTGTACAGCAATTACAAAAGACCTCAGTAAAAACCAGATGGACAGTCAGTTTTCAGATAGTTTAAGTCCTGCTTTAAGTAGCTTTTAAGATACTTATTTATATTAGGAGAGTGATTTTATTGTTTACTATGTATAGGACATTGGGCTTGAAGGGAAAATCTGACCTCAAAAAATTTGTAATTTAGCCAGGAAAACAAGATTAATACTCACAAAAGAATGATCATTAGCAATAAACTGTGTTGTGCTACCATAGTTGCAGACAAAAGTCAGAGAAGAGAGATACAAGTGTGGGCTAAAAGCTGGGTGTATATGAGATATCACCTCACACCAGTCAGAATGGCTAAAATTAACAAGTCAGGAAACGACAGATGTTGGCGAGGATGAGGAGAAAGGGGAACCCAGTGTATGAGGGTTAGCCCGGTGATGGGTATTAAGGAGGGCACGTATTGAATGGAGCACTGGGTGTTATATGCAAACAATGAATCATGGAACACTACACCAAAAAAAAATTAAATAAATAGAAAAAAAAAGCTGGGTGTATGGGAGATGTTCAGTGAATATGTTGAAGAAATAATAAAGGAATGAATGATGTATGTCAGGTTATTTTTGTCCTGTTCACTGCATTCTGGCTCTAAGAACAGAGTTGGATACTGGTCCTCAATGAATTTGTGTTGAACGAATACATGAATGAAGGAAACAGACATGAACCTAATTTTGAAAGTTGAGCAAATTTTCCAGAAATAGTCACAGTAGATCGATCTGAACCAAGGGATGAAACCAGGAAGAACATACAGGCAGGGCCAGAAAGGAAGGGAGTGTGATCTTGTCCAGATAAACAATCAGATAGTGATTTTCCAAAGGTGTCAGTATAAGCTGTCTACCATATCTTAGATCTCTTCCCACATTGCCTTTTTCTCCATCAGCTACCAAAGTTTTGAAGTCTTTCTATAGGTCCAGTCTTACCCTACCCTATATTTCCCTACTGTCCTGTCCTATTACATCCTCTCCTATCCTAAAAACCACCTTTGCTAGATCCTGCTTTCTCCTCAAGATCCAGACCTCATTTCTTTTCTTCTGTTACTGATGAACTTCTTGAAGAAGTGGTCCTTTTTCAGGGACACATGTCTTTTATTCTTTGAACTCTCTGTGCTTTGGCTTCCCATGTACCACACCATGGGGAATACTAGCTCAGAAGTCCCTGGGGAGCTCTCAGCCCCTATCCTGGTTGGCTTCTCTGTGGGCTAATCCCTACCCTTTCCCTTCCTCCTTCAGTGTAGAACAACACCTTCCTCCCACATGTCTTTATGTCCTTTCTCAGTATCCTTAGTCTACCTCTATGCCTTCCACCTTTACCTAGATGAGGGCTCCCCCTAAGAATTTTCCCTGTGCTTTGTTTACTCTGCCTTCTGTTTGGGAGAACACAGCAACTCCAGTGGCTCCAATTGTCACCTGTGTGCTGATGATTTTCCGATCTGGTTCACACCCTGAGAAAAATTTTTACCTTCGTATGGCTTTCCAGAAGCCTCAACCTCAACATACCTAATGCCAAAATCTTCTACTTCATATCTACTCTTTATTTATTTATTTTTGGGCATTTCCTATTTCGGGAAATAGGAAGAAATCCAAGGAAGAAATCCATGAAAGAAATCTCTGTCCTTTCCAATATTGGTCTCACAATCTCGAGTCTTTTGGGTGTGAACCTCGGTTGGTTCCTTCTCTTCTGTTGTTTATTCTCTATCCCCTTCTTCGTATGATTATCACTGTCACTCCATATTCCTTGGTTGCTTGGACTAGTGCAATAGCTTCCTAACTTCGGGTTGCCAGATGAAATATATTGCATGAACAATATTTATACGAAAAAATTATTTGTTTATCTGAAATTCAGATTTAAATAGGTAAAGGGGATTAAGAGGTACAAACTTCCAGTTATAAAATAAGTAAGTCACAGGGATGAAAAGTACAGCATAGGAAATGTAGTCAATAATACTGGAATAACTATGTGGTGATGGATGGTAACTAGATTCATCGCAGAGATCATTTTATAATGTTTGAAACTATCTAATCACTATGCTGTACACCTGAAACTAAGAGGATATTATATGTCAATTACGCTTCAATTAAAAAAATTTTTAAAGACTATTTATTTTAGAGAGAGAGAGTGCACGAGTAGGAGGGGCAGAGGGAGAGAGAGAGAGAGTCTCAAGCAGACTCTGTGCTGAGTGTGGAGGCTGACACGGGGCTCGATCTCACGACCCTGAGATCATGATCTGAGCCAAAACCAAGAGTCTGATGCTTAACAGACTGTGCCACCCAGGCACCCCGCATTTTAAAAAAATTTAAAAAGCTGCTTTGGTTTTTTTCCTCTAACTCTGGCAACCCTACCCTCACTGGTCTCCTGTCCTCTAATTTCTGAGTGTTTCAGTCTTTCCTTCACATTCATGCCAGAGTTATCTAAAACACAGATGAGAATACGTCACAGAACTGACAGGAATCATCTAGTGGCTCTATGCTGCCTAGAGAAAGAACCTGAACTCCTTAATCGATATTAAAGAAGATCACCATTCTGGTTCCATTTCTCTTTTCTTGCTCCATCGTCTATCTTTCCACTCAGTTGTAGTGGGAAAATCACCCGCCCCAAACATGTCATGTGAATTTATACTTGCACTTTTTCTCAAAATGCTGGCTTAGCTTGGCATTCTTTTCTCCCTTCAAACCCTTAAAAAGTTGTTTTTAATATTGATAATTCTCTGTTTCAATATGACACTCAAAATTAACTATCCCACTTGTATATCGGTAGAAGTGTAGGGATAGGTTTTTACAATACAGTTTATGTTCTGATTTTTGTGTAAAATAAAATGTCCCTTATTTCCCTCTTCTTTGA